TATGTTCTACTTTTTTCTTACATTTCATAATACTATTGGTAGAATATCTAAGATCAAGTATAGAAAAAGAAGTTAATTCATTCAGTCATATCCCCGACAAATAGCAGGTCTGGATTGGAGAAGTAGCTTTCAGGTCATCAACCAATAAGAGGTAGTTGAAGGTGTGGATCCTAGAAATATTGACCATAATTTCAACTCAGATAAATTTTAGATCCAGTGGTGTTAAATGCTACTAACAGGTTAAGTAAAATAAGGATTCAGAATTGACCTTTAGCAACATGAGTATCATCAGTGATTTTGACAAGAATAGTTATTTCCTTGGAGTGGTGGGGGCAGAAATTGGTGGAGTAAGTTCAAGAGAGAGTGGGAGAAGTTAGAGGCTGCAAATGTACTCAACATTTCCAAGGACTTTGTCTAAAAAGGAAGGAGAGAAATGCATATTAGTCTGGACACATCAGGGCCAAAGAGGGCTTTTTAATGTGGAGAACACGGGCATGTTTGTATGCAGATGAGAAAGATCCAGAAGAGGGGAAATTTGACAATGCAGGCAAGAGAAAGAAAAACTGCTGGCATGATATCCCTGAGTAGGCAAGAAGAGATAGGATCTGGGCCTAAGAGGGGGCATTGGCTCCTGCATGGAGACCACATAGTAACAGCTGAGAAGGCTCCCAATAAATGGCTGTGAATGAATTTTAGAGTATTTAGTGTGTTCTTTCTCAGGATTTTAATGTCTCACTATTTTTTTCATATATAGATATAGATATATATTCTGACATTCTTTTCTAGAAGAGGTGATTTAAAACATAGTTCAGACAGAATTCATGTGGGGTAAATGAGCCTCTTAAGAGAATGAACTTTCACTCAAAGGAATGAACTTTTACTCATTAATGTTTATGAGAAATATCGTTAGACTATGGGAAAGGCAAATTGCTTTCAGTCTGATGCCACTGCGAACTATCCACAAATTAAGACATGGTTAATAAAATATCCAACAACATACGAACATGAAGAATTAACTCTTTCCTGGGATTTTCTTCACAGCAGTTCAGGGGATCTCGAAGCAGGTAGGAAAAGTGAGGGATATAGAAAATAATTTTCTCTATTATACATTCCTTATACCTTTTTAGCCAACAGGCTGCTTGGCTACATGCAGACTGATAATGTGCTAATGATAAGCACTAAGTGCATTATTACCAAAAAAGATAAGAATTGCACCATTGTAGGAGAGAAAAGATCTTCTACCCTTGAGCTTTTCATTGAGGAGTGTGGGATCAGTTCCTCCCACATGAATCACTTTGACATTTAAAGAGTTCATGGAACCAAGAGAAAGGTAAAGCCCATTATTGTAAGAGGAAAATGTCGTAACCCTCATGGAATGTTCCTGGATTTCTGCCATACAGAGGAAGGGACTTGCAGTGAGTGGCAATAGGGAATAATAGTCTCTCAGGTGATGAGTAGCCAGTCAAGCCACTAAGGTTTGTGATCATCAAGGCAATGAAGTGTCAGTCTCCGTCCAAACAAGCCGGGCTCCAGGGCTAGTAGCCCCGACTACATTCTATCATCATCTACACAACGTGTGATCCAAAGGGATTAAGAGACTCAAGCCCTTCCTTTGCTCACTCCCCAAAAGAGTAAAAGAGACGTTGGTAAATATTTGTTTAAGAGAGATCCTTTCTGATAACCGAACTGGATGCCTTTTCAGAGTAACCATAGAGGTAGGATTAGAATTGTCTGCGTGGACTAGAAGGAGGTAGTTAGAGAAGGGAAGTTGGGTGTTACCATGGAAAGCTGGAATCCTGTTCTACTGGTGCGTTAGCCTCTGCCACTTTGGAATCTTTTAATAGCCACAAAGCCCCATTTCTGGGTAAACACAGTGGAACTCATTTTGAAAGGAGGAGAGGGCAAGGACAAAGAACAAAGCAGCAGCCTTCCTATTCAGGCAAAATGGTTGGTGACTAGCACTTCGTCAGCTGGGGAAAAGGTTTTAAATTCCCCAGGACTCAAGGTTTAGAGGGGCCCGTGTACAGCGTCCTATGTTCTTTGAGAGAATCAAAATATTGTATCTGAAACTTCAATAGGGCACATAAAAAGGCCCAATATACTCGGAATTACTAATTCTAAAGTTCAAGCCATCACATTAAGAGAAGGAGGGAGGAGGGAATGTCTCAAGTTCCTTAGTTACAGGTGGCATTTCTGGCATTAAAAAAACTCATCTTTCCCCCCCTCTATTTTATTGGAACCATCTCAGGGAAAGAAGCTAACTGTCCATGTTTTTGTCAAAGCACTCCTAACCCACGGGCCAGGTCAGACAGCCTGGGCTCAGCGAGTGCCACTGGCTAAATTTAACACTGGGCTTTCTTGTTCTTGAGTGTGAGGGTGAACAGCAATCAGAGGCGCTATGCTCTAGCTCTTTCTAAGCTGTTTTTAATTACAACATAAACACCATACACACAGCAATGGGGTGATGTCCACGGATTGTTCTGGCACGTATCAGCTTGTTTCCAACTAAATGACTTATTTTCTTCCTCTCTTCCTCACGCCCCTATATTTTTCTCTGAAGGAACATCTTATTTGAAAGACCATTGTCTATCTTGTTAAATTAAATTAATTACTTTTTTAAGGTATTAAAGAAGTTTTATGTTTAGAGCAAGCAAGGCAAAGCCAGGGCTATCTCTTTTTGTAAAAATGATGCAAAGATGGAGAAATAAGTAAAAAATTTTTTGCTTTTTCAAAATAATTTTTGAAATAATTTACATCTTATGTTTTGGGAAATTGATATTTCACAATGAAAATGAGGAAAAATTAAGCACTAATATTAAACAAGTACAATAAACAAATAAAGGGTTCAAATTGAATGATTTTCATTTCCTTATAGGTAGAGACTTCCCCATCACTTCTATATTATTGTAATTATTATTATTATTTTACATATGCATAGTAATTTGTAATTTATAAAATATTCATTTTAATATCTTATTTATTTCATAAACCTATAAGGTCTCATTATGCCCACTTGATAATGGAACAGACTTGGAGATCAAGTGACTTGCCCAAGGTCATAGAGTTAATAATAAGCGGGAGACTCGGAATCTGAACGTAGGACTTCCAGCCCCAAATTTAGTTGTATCTCTATGCTACAAACACTATAAAATTCTCAGTATTCCTCATTTTCATATTTTTCCCCAAGTCTCACTCTCTTGCTACCAAACACAAAAGTAAATAGATTAACCTTGGGTTAGTATTTCATTAGGGCTAAATTTATTAGTCATCTCCTTTATGCCTGCTTCTCATCAAGTATTTCTAAACTTTTTCAGGTAAAATTTAACATATTCAGTTGCAGTGTGCTTTCACAGGCTACTGAACCTGTCTGGACTTTGATTTCTAAATTTACAAAATAAGAATAATAATTGCAATTCATAGAATTATTTAGATATGATTGAGCAAAATGTATCTTCATCATTATGCTTTATTTTTAATTAGAAATGAATCATAAGCATTTATTAATTTTACTTTTTTTAAAAAAAGAGCTGACAAGTTATTGCAAATGTCATTAATAGTCTAGGCTCTTATCCAACACAACTTGGAGGTAAATTTAGAAAGACACATAGGCAAAGATTTTTAAAAAATAAAAAGGAACAAAAACGCTCTGAGAGAATAAACGAATTCCTTGTTTTTCTACCATGTGATAATAAGCGGGAGGGATTCTCAACCATTTAAATTTTTCTAGAATAATTACATTTGAGGATGTTGTGAAATTTCAAACTTAGCTTAACCTTTTGGTGTTTGAGTTTGTCTACTTTTGGCATAACATAATTTCCTGACTTTAAAGATATCAGGCAGCTCTTACCAACGAACATTTTAATTATTCAAGTTGCATAAATGACTTGAAAACATATGGAATCAAGTTCCCACACAATATTCGTTGGTTAAAAAACTGTGAGAAAAATGGCTTTGCTATACATGGATTCAGTTTTCTTGAACTTCAAATTTCATGGGCTCAAAGATGACAGATTCCTGATAGCCCTCAAGCAACTCAAATAGTGTAGACTACAATCCCAGTGCTAATCTGAACCATTTCAAGTATTATTAGCTTACATGGCAAGCAGTTTGTATCTACACAATAGATAATTTAACTTCATCACACACAATATTAGTAACCTTTACAACTTAGACCAAAACGTTGCAAGAGATAGCAAGCATGCTGCAATCCATAGAATAGCAAAGAGAGCCAAAATGTATGATTTGTGGCAGTGTTCATTTTGCACGCATGGAATTTGATGAAAAAACAACCTCATTTACTAATAAAATAATATTGTGAAGTCACCCTTTATCAACTCACCAGGGCTTACTGTGCTCCCAACTTCTCCACCACATGATTTTCACTACTTGTTTTCTAAAGACAAATTCCAAATCACTGGGAAATATAACCCTGCTGTTCTCTCACTTATTTTTCTGTCACTTCACTTAATAGCACTGAGCATCATGTGGACTGTGTGGGATTACAGCACTTGGTATGAAAAGGCTGGTGGGAGGACATTACAGCAACAGTTATGTTGAAATGAAAGTCTGGCATACATGCAAAAACCATCTAGGGCCAATTCCTTCCCATTTCCAATTTTGGCCCTACTATTACATACTATTACTAACATTTATTTTGCTATCCTTCTGAGTTATTTAATTTTGTGACAATAGTTTTTAAAATCATTATATTTCAAATGGTTTATCCTTAGAATTTTAGTGGAAAACGCATCATCAGATTTGAAATGGTACAGGCTAAGGCAAGGTTGACGACAGTGCTAATGGTTGGTCACTGAACTTCCAGCATAAAGATTAGGTCCACAGATTTTTCACTATGGATAGCAATGCAATTGGCCACAGGACTAGAACTGGTTTTGTATTGTTTGTTTGCTTTTACAGTTGATTCTCATTGTTCACAGACATCGCATTTGCTAATTTCGCTGTTTACTAAAATTTATTTGTGACCCCAAATCAATACTTACAGTGTTTTATGGTCATTCATGGCTGCGTGGAGATCAGCGACAGATTTGCGTCACTCATCAAACGTATCCCAAATGTATGCTCTGCCTTCTTGTATCAGCTCCCATACTGGAAATACGTGGCTTTTTGTGATCTATTTTGTGTCACATTTTTTGCATTTTTGTTGTGGTTCGATGTTTAAAATGAGCCCAAGCACAGTAATGAAGCCAAGCGCAAGATGGCTATGATGTGCCTTAGAGAGAAAATAGGTGTGTTAGACAGGCCTTGTTCAGACAAGAGTTATAGTGCTGTGGGTTGTGAGTTCAATATTAATGAATCAACAATAATAATATATGAGATACCTTTAAAACAGAAACACACAGAAAACAAGGTTATGTATGAATCTGTCATGAAAATGTGATGAGGCTCATAGGAACCTAACTGTGTCTCCCCTAGGAGCAATGGTTTAGTATTTGAGAAAATTATGCAGGACACACTATAATGCATAATGTACATTCCACAATTGCAATGTATAATGAATAATGAGAATAAATTATGAATGAATAATGAGAATTCACCATCTATAGGACATTTCATCATCTTCAGAAAAGGTTACATGGAAAGTCTAGAGGAAGATATTAATATGTAGGGTTTTTTTTAAATGAGATGTTATGTTTTACCATATGTCTCATGCTCGTCATACTCTTTTTGTTAAATTATGACTTTTAATGCCTTTTTAAAAAACGTTAACTTAGTTCATTTTTTTCTTACTATTGACAGGATGTCACTGAAGATATTTCCAAATCTGGACCTCAGCAAAGGGTGACTTGTTCAGAGTTCCCTGGAAGTTAGTGGTTGTCACAAGGATGGAATATGACAATATAGATCAAAGCGTCTAGTACAGCGATGTGGCACAGCCCTCTGAAGTATTGTGACAAGTGTAAACATATACAATGAAATTAGATAATATTTTTAAAACTTTTTGGTAAGAAACTTACCAAAGTTCTAATAGAAAAGGGGACAGTGAGCATGGAAAAGAATCGTATCCAGTAATTCATCCATTTAGCTGAAAACATATCATGTAAGATAATCACATAACTTTTTAATGAAATCTGTGGTAGGGATAATTATTCCTATTTTACTGGAGGCGAAGAGAACATTATGTGCATATTTCCAAATCATGGGGAGAGTTTAAATTAGGACTGAAAACTTTTGGCTCCTATACAAAATTAATGTTCAATAAAACTTGTTGAATGAATTAATGTTGTTGGTTGAATTCTACTGCTCCCTAAAACATGCCACATTTCATAATTTTTAAATCTCAGAAAATCTGTTCAGTGCCCATTGCAGGAGAATAAAGAAAAAGAGTTCTGTAAACAGTGTTAAATGACTCCTGCGGGCTGGTGGAATCAGGGCGGAGGAAATCGTAGCTACCAATTTATTTCCTGATTCAGAAGATGACTCACCATGTAACTTTGTGAACGTTGCTTAACCTTTCAGCATTCCAGTTTCTACAGCTGAAAAACAGGGATGATATGTGTCCACCTGACAATGGTAAATGCTCTAGAAATACAAAAAAATTAATCTCCTCTCAAGGGACAGTAAAGCTGGTTTTTCATGTGCTTGAGATATCACTGACACATGCTCAGAACAGTTTCGGCCCAAGTTGCCTGGTTAATACTTCCAGCTCACCTCCCTGCACACCACGCTGTGCGCTGACCTCTTGCTATCCTGCCCTGAGGCAGAATGGGAAGTGGCGTCCGGGTGCTCAACACGACTGACAAGGAGCATCACGCAACCCCTATCCAGCCTGTGCCAGAGTGCTTTCTGTGTGGTTGTCAAGGAAGACAAAACTCAACACAAGGAAGCAGATCCACATGGTGGGAACAAACTTCTCCTTGAATTTGGATTCTGGGAAATATGACTAAAATCATGAACAAGCCAATTTCATTTGCAGTCTTCCTGTCACAATACAGAACTGTTCTGTTTCCCTCATATTCTGGATGCCATAATTTAGGAAAAACGTGAACATGCCCTCTCGTGTGCTTTACTTACTGTCTTCTTCCCTCCTTATAAGTTTTGTTTTCTTTTGTTTTTAAGGAATAGTTATTTCCAATGGATAACTCAGGATCTTCCCGTATCTATTGCTTGACATATCAACATTCCCACAACTGGCAATAAATACAGTTCATTAAACTAAAGTCTCTGTGTCACTTTGAATGGCTTTCTTCTAAATCATCTATTGCTGATATAGAGCCTGACTTTCCAGGGACAAATTCCAATATACCTTCACTAGATAGGGACAGAATGGTACTACCACAGAGATAACAAGCAGGCGGTATCGAACTACATGAGTTTCTACTTTGGCAAAAGTCCTCCTGTCACCAGAATAGGTATGGGATTGACACCAAAAAAGCCAAAGGGGTTGTGACACACAGTGGGACAAATACAAGGCTCCAAATTGAGAGGAGAGAAACAGGGCTGTTTAGAAAATAATTAAGATTTTACATTATTAAAACACGGCAAATTTTTCCAGATGTAAACACTTTGAGAGGGAAAAAAGTAATGTGACTTTTCCAGAACACCCTGCACCCACTGTAAACACAAAAGAACATTTTCTGACTTGGTATTGAGCTGTGACCTAATGCCATTGCTTCTGGCGCTCAGTGACTGGCCTCCTCTGTACAACTAACCTAGGATTTTCTTCTTTGACTTCACTGCCCACCACTGCACAGCAAGGTCACTAATGTTCACATTTGTGTGTCAAGAAGTATGGACATCTGAACATAAATGTTAAATTCACATGTGACTAGAAGCAAATAAAATGGGATGTCCACTGGATATTGGAAATGCTGTCAAGATGTTTAGATATCGGCAACGTGATATAACTTACCCAGGAAACTTCAACCAAGCTTCAAATGCAAGTTTGTGCTATGCCAGTATTTCCCAACCTGCTTTTCTTAAAACATAGGAGAGTTATTTTGTACTGCCAAAAATGTCATGTTTGAGAATTGCTGCTTACTACAGACTCTCTCTCTTGGAAATTCATAATATACATTAGCCTATTAAATACTCCAAAGTTACGTACAAGGCTGTAACTTTCGTTGTCAGCTTTCCCTAGAGTTACTTAACTAAGGAACACCTTTCATATTTTTATTTTTCTGGGAATACCTAATAGAAACTCTCAGATCCTCTGACACAGTTTGAAAAATACAATTGTCTACTTGGGATTGAACTTCTGACTCTACTCTTTCATCAATGATTCCTTCAACGTATTTCAAAATGTATATTTATATTTTAAACACAAATAACTTCCCTATTAGCAGACACCTATTCTAGGTGTGACCTGGGAAAGGATTAACTGCTATTCCTTTTTCTTCTGAATCCTCCTTTAGAGAATTTGTGGGCAAGCAGCTTCCTCATTTTGATGGTGAGCAAGCAGAAAGTATTTGTTTAATCGAATCAGAGTACACCAACTTCAGAAACTTCTGTTTCCTACAGTAAAAATATCCCAAAGGTCAAAAAGAAAAAGCGGCTTAGATTATGTTTTTCCTTCTCTTTTACATATTCTGTTTGAAGAGCATCTATCAAAGACGAAAGAGACAAGGACAGTGAGGCGTTTTATCTGTTTATCACGTTCAACTGAATGTGCTTTGAATGCTGAACTGTCTCAACTCCACAGGTGTCTCTGGAGATGCGAGTTAACAGTCAATTAGGCTGCAGAAGCTGGAATGTAGTTAAACAATTCTCTTAAGAAAAGGAAAAGTACATAAAATTCATAATACTTTCCTTGATCAGTATTAGCGTGTTCTCCCCACTCCTCCCGCTTCCACTCTCCCTTTTCCAGTATAACTTGAGTTTCTCTCTTTTTTTTGCTGAGGAAGATTTGCCCTGAGCTAAGATCTATTGCCAATCTTCCTCTTTTGTATGTGACCTACTGCGACAGCATGGACCCTGGCAGAGGAGTGGCATAGGCCTGCACCTTGGCACCGGGCCCAGGCCACTGAAGCAGAATGTGCCAAACTTAACCACTAGGCCACCTGGGCTGGCCCTTGAGTTTCTCTTTTAGTTTGCTGTTAAGAATGAGTTTGCTTTCACTTTTTCAAGCAGCATCATAGAATCATAGAGTCCCTTAACTCAAATCCTTCCTTCCAAGGATGGATGCTCTTCATTACATGAGTCTCTCGTATCTTAGAGATATCTTTTGTTGAGTAGAGGCATTCTGAGGTGTTCCAATCCTCATTTTAAAGGCGGAAGACAGAACGTGGAGACTAGGTGACTTACGCATTGTCACACAGTGAGTCCCCAAATTCCCTGAAAGAGGGAGCTATTTTCTCTATCCATTTATGCAAACTTTTTTCTTCTTTTTTTTTTGCCTTGAACTTTGTATCCACTGTCAAATACATTTAGATGATTTAGAGAAACACACACACACACCTTTGCATCATTGCAGCATTATCCTTGAATTTTTTTAAACATTTATTTAGCATTTGTACCAGGTCAATGCTAGTTTTCCTGTTATGCAAACCCACACCCATGCTAAAAGTCTCTAGGGTTAGGAACACAGTGATAATATGACTATTTGGTTTCGATGTTTGTGTGCAAGGTGCCCCAGGTCATTTCCAGAAAAAATGAAAGGTTCTCAGGAGAATTTCACCAACAAAAATGACTGCTTTCTTTTTCTTTCAGTGACAAAGAAAGCAAGCAACTATGATAAAGGGTCAAGCAAATATGGAGTATCGAAAGTAGACAATGAAACAATTCTCCATCAGTCAAGAAAGTTGTGAAGCTAAATTTGGAGCACACTGAATAAGTGAGTACATGAGAATTCTGCGTGCTTAGGAAAAGGCAGTGAACCCAGATTAAGAGATGTATCATCGTGATGACAGCTGGGGTCACCCTGCCCCCTTGAAATTTAGATCATGCTTGTGCAGACTGCCCCAATTCCAAGGCTTGTGTATGTTCAGGGCTGCTCCTGAGATTTTTGCAAATTTCCACGGGGCAATAACTCCCATGAGCTCCTCTGCTTCCGGACTCCTGTGTCCCTCTTGCGACCCCTCCTAAGCACACAGACAATACTCAACCTTTCCCAGATTTCCACCAAATACCTCCTCTCATCATAAGAGATGGATGGAGGGACCCAGCGTACAGGTAGGGCTGGGGAGGGGTTTAATATGGTTTACACTGAAGCAATACAAAGACCTTCAAATCAAATTTTAAGAAGGCTCGTTCTTAAATACTTAAATATCCTTTATTGTACACAGACAACCTCCTCCCCCGAGTTCCCCACTCTACCCCAGAAATCCTGGGGGCATGTCCACTTGCCCTTTCGGCCATGTAGCTCCCAGACACTTATCTACGTTACTGTTCCCCCTTTTGGCACCGATCTCATCCCACTTTCTGCCTTCTTCTCAAAAGCAATAACACCTGCTTTTCACTTTCTCAAGCTGAGGAGTAGAACCCTCTCTTAGATGCCCATTCCCTCAGGGTCTCACTTTCTATCCTAAGCAGCTGATAATGGGTTTTCCCTAGACAGTGGGATCTGGGGTCACCTCTTTATGGATAGAATCTCACTCATTTCATAGAGTTGTGCCCAGGGCTACTCAGTGCTTCTTCTCTCTCAGAAGCAACGCCACTTAGAGACCGACTTTGTGTAAAATAATTCATCACATTCAGGTGCTCAATTCGAGTGAGTCTTTCTCTATTCTAAAACTTTGAAACCCTATTGAGTTAGATGAGAAAACTAGGACAGGAAAACACGCCCCCAGGTGAATCTATTAGCCTGACTGAGACCACTCAGTGCCTTGTGGGAGAGTAGCAAGAGGGTTAAGAAACAGGAGCTCCGCATTTGCGTGGTGCATGTCTGAATTCTGTCTCTGCTCTTCCAGCTGTGCAACCTAGGGCAATTCCCTAATCTCTGAGTGCCTCAGTTTCCTCGTCTGTGAAATAGTAGAATCCACTGTATTGTACAGATTAAATGAGTTAATATGTACAGAACATTTTGAAAAATGCTTGGCACCTATAAGTGTGAGCTGGTTTTGTTTTAACTTGGCCAAATGACAAAAGGCTAGGGAAGGCCTGGGCAAAGCACAGATAGACAGCAAACAGCTAGTTTGGCAGACGTTTTCCCCATGGGAGGCAAAAGAGATGGTTGATGTTGCTATTGTAAGAGCCTGGAAAACTCCACTCAGGAATTAGTCCTTCTGGCATGCTTTTTGGCTGTAAACTTTTGTAGGTTGAAATCCTGAAGAAAAGCTAGAGGTCTCTCTAGCCCCAGTATTTCACCTCTGGGTTTTTGTCTGTTTTTTTCTGAAATAAGCAAAGCTTTATTTGATGAGAGAATTTGGGTATTTTCACAGAAGTCGACCCCAGTCTCGATTGAAATGGATTTCTACCCCTCTCACGTAATATTTCTTCATCTTCTGAATAAAGTCCACTTAAAATCTCTGAGGGAAAAAGTGGAAAGCATGAACGCTTATGCTTAACATAGGGCTTGCTCACTGTCTCTCTGAAGAATGCCTCTCTTGTAATCTTATATCCATAGAGGGCCTTAACATAGTATATGCTCAGTAATTAGCAGTTGGTTTGATTTTCATCTTTGAAAAAAAACACTGAAAGAACTGAAGAACTGTTTTCAAAGACTGGCAACTTTCGCAAAGGTTTAGCAGCAGCGGTAACAACAGCAATTTAGAAAAGTTTTCCATCCAATTCTTGAGGGACTCAATCACTTGGGTTTGTATGTTAATTTGCTGCACTTCTAACCATACAAGAATCTTAGATCTGGGAGTAACCAATGAGAAAAGAATATACTTGTTCTCGTTTTCAAGTGTCCTAGGAAAAACTGTATTCTATTCACTGGTGCCAGAAGAAATCGATACAGACCATAATAGTAAAAATACTCATTATTTGTGAAAGAGAAAGAAGTAAAAAAAAACCCACGACGCTGCAGAACCACAGAAAGAAAGTGAAACAAACCAGGATCATCAAGTCACACAATTCCAGGAGGACCATTTGCACAAAACATGTGATATATCCCCTGGAACCATCCAAAAAGTGGGCCTGAAGAACAATTCTGATGTCTAAAACTTTAAGTGACTTGTTTTATGGTCACAAATATTTCATTCATTTTTCTGTGTCTCAGTGTTCACCTGGGGTGATCACATTTAAAATGATAAGAATCAACATTTTTTGAGTACTTACTATGTGCCTAGCACAGTCTAAATTTATGCATATTAATTCATTTGATTTTAACAAAAAACCCCCATGAGATAGGTACTTTAATGCCCATTTTACAGATGAGGAAAGTAAAGCCAGAAATGTAACTCACCCAAGGTTATGCAGCCGGTAAGTAGTGGAGCAAGAGTTCGAATGCATGCGGTCAGATTCTAGCATTTGAAGTTCTACAGTGCTGCCTGATTTACCAGGCCCTAGTGCATGCCAGGGCACCTTGGCCTTCATGGCCATTGTGGTTGATGCCAAAATTTCCTGGTTGGGTACACTGGGGATGAGCTTTTTGATTAGAATTTTAGAGAGAATAATGCAAGAGACTCTTCTCTCCCCAAAGACCATTGGGATGTCTGACAGCTTACAGAGACCTCCAAAAAGCCACTCACTGAAGAAATTCAGAAAAATTGATGCTAAATCTTAACATCCAACTGGGAATTCTGGGAAACCAGGGCCAAAAAGATTGGGTTCTTCATGACAGCTCTATTCAATCCAGAGCCACAAAGTCTTCCTATTTAAGTGCTCAGAGTTGGGGACTCTCTTAAGGACCGGAGCGCCTCTTGTCCCCAGCAGAAAGAAGTGAGCCAAAGTGTCCCTGGTCTTCTCCAGGTAGGAGGGCCCAGATGTTTCAGGCTCTACCAGAGGCCTCATTCATCCCCTGGATTTTAAGGCATCATGCCCCATGTTCCGTTTGCGGGACAATTAGAAAAAATCCCCATGACTGTTCTGTGTTCTGAGACTCTCAGTCGGATGCTTCCTTGTGACGATAAGGCAGTCATTTTACTTCAAAGTCGTTTGATTTTTCCCAGATCAGCAGCTCGGTCTCACTACAAAATCTTTGATTGTCACTTGTTTTTCTTTTAAGAGAGTAATTTCCAAAAGAAAGTAAGTGAGGGAGTGACAATAAGAGCACATAAAATATTTGAGATTGTGTCATGGTTATTTTTAAGCAAAATGATAGGGAAAACAAAAAAGGAAAGAAAGGGAGATTTTAGTTTTCTCAAAGACTAACAAAGTCCCACCTTAGTCAGGCAGTATCAGGTGAAGAGTAGTTCTGAAAGGATTACCGTCCCTCAACCCTTGGGAATTCTCAGCTCTGTGGTGTTTTGTTTTTGTCTCCCAACAGAGGTGTGGTGTGCAGGGGTCACATAAAAGGTGAGCAAGACGCTAAAGGCTCCACCTCCCCACTGTGAGGTAACATCTGCAGTCAAACCAGGTGAGCTGAAATAACTGGATATGCTTCTCCACGAAACTAATACATTTTTATCAAACACTTCCTCACCAGTTCTTATTCCCTGACTGGAGCAAGCTTGGCTGCTGCCAATTATAGGAGGGTGGAGGTAGCCAAAACACCTCCACAAAAAAAAAAAATGGCAAAGAAAGAGAATGTTATTTTATGTTGTCTGTAAAAGAGATAATTCATAGTATACTATCTATGCTTGAAAGAGTTAAAGATTTTCATCTTAGTCTAACAAAGAAATAATACGGAGGAGCTTTTAGTTTTTTTAAATCAGATTGGCTTAACAACCATTAGTGATATAGAGTCAACTACTGATATTAGGGGGAAAACAGCTGTTTAGGACATCAGGTGATGACATTGAGTAGATACTAAGCCAATCTGAGTCTCATTTCCATAATCTAACAGGGGAGGGGACTAAATTATCTCTAAGAACAATTCTTGCTCTAAAAACTCTTTGACTGTGTCTGGGTATTCCTTAATTCATAACCATGTACTATATATTTAGTTACTGTGAACAAAAACAGTTGAACAGTATTATTCATATTTCACTAAAGCAGCTTTGAGAAACTATCCTTGGCTTGTAGACAGAATACAATAAGGGATTTCAAACACAAACAGTGCCTGGAAAATGAGAGATAGATAAACTTTTGGCCAAGTTCTTCTACATTGCCTATCTGCCTTACTAGAACTTTCTTAATAGCTATTTATCCTTTAGAAGTTCTCATATAAATTACAGACTACCTGTAAGAGGTCACAATCATCATTTATTTCCAGTAGAACACTTTTATTTCCTGTATTAAGATGCGCCCAGAAACTTAAACAATCTAAGAAATGGGGATACCTGGAGTTGCCAATGTAATCAAACTCCCCTTTGTCAGGGAAAGCCTGCATATTCTGAAGGATTATATCAGTTGGCTGACAAGTTCTTGAGCATAAGAATCCACTTAAGCAGTCCTAAATAGAGCGGAGACTACTGCTAGGAGGAATTGATTCAGTCACCTCCTTCCCCCACGCCCAGTTCACCTCCTACGCTTGCTGCACCTTTTCTCCCTTTTTTGAAGCTCCTCCAGTTGTAGTTAAGTTTCAGATGTATTTTGGCATCCTCATCCAACAGCTAGTACTGAGCATAGTTGGAAGGCAGCCTGGCCCACTGGAAAGAACATGGGCTTTGGAGTTAAACAGATCTTCCTTTGAGTTCTCTACCACTTACTAGCTAGGTGACTTTGGGCGAA